TGTGGCCACAGTATCCTCATATATAACTCCATTCAGTCCTAAATCGCTAAACTCGAAGAAATTGGTTTACTTCAATGCGTACAGGATTAGGTCCTTAGGGCTTCAGTTTTTCTCTTACAATTATTTATCCCTTTGGTATTTTCTGGGTCATGTGCATGAACAACACCTCAATCCTTTATCCATAAAATACAGTAATATAGCTATTTTAAGTATTCACTGAATTTGTTCTCTTACTGGAGATTTACTTTAGCCAATGGAATTAGTATTTCTGGGCATGCACATTTTATTTTCCTTACATGCATCTCATCATAATTATCATGTTCCGGTTGGCATTTGGCTAGTAAGAGCACTCATGCAACACATGCTGAAGTAGTCTTTACACACAGCTGCAGTATGCACCAGAACACGACTTGAAAGAATTAACCTATGCAAATGAAAAGACAAAAATATTTAACCTATTTCAAACTTCACTGTATACACCCTATGGCTTATAGACCTTGACGTTTCTCAAAAAAATCAGAACTGTTTTGAAGGATGAAGTGAGGAAAAGGGCCCAACACAGCACTTTGGACTATCTCAGACTTTTCACGGCTGCATCTCCTTGGTCTTGAGTATCTTCAACTCCTCAGGACATCAAGGGAAACTGAAAAGGCTGCTACAATTCTTGTTTCAGCAGGAGAAATAGAAATCAAAAATATCAGTATTCTGGGGTGGGGGATTTGTTGGATGCTGTGAATTCCCATACATCCGAGTCTCCTTTGCGTGGAGATCTCCATTCAGGTTGTAGGAGGGCAGGACAAGATGGTGCACACCTGGGCATCATCCTGACACAGAGTTAGGATGTGGCTGGAGTGGATCACGTCTAGAAGGAGATTTTTTTGCTAAAGCTGAAAACTATTACATGAGTAGGAAAGCCTAACTAGTTTGGTTTCAGTTTAAAATAGGAGGCAGCACAGGAATACAGCAGCCACCGTACGGCACCTTTCACTGCAGTAAAGCCTGATCTAAAATCCATTGAATCATAAGGCCTCACATTTCCTACTACATTATTCTCACAACATTGCAGCATCTACATCATGTCACTGCACCTTTTCATTCAACAGACTTCCTTCCTGCATACTGCCCAAATGGTATGTGCTAACTTCACAGGAAGTAAATCTGTGCATTCCTGTGAATGATTATATAAAGAATCGGACTCTAAAATTGTAATTTCACTAGTTATCTAATTCTTGTAGCTTCCCTCCCCTCACTTTGACTATGATAATACTCATACCAAAACAAGTTTAATTCTTCTATTTTAACATCACATCAAACATTTTAACAGCAGTTTTACTCCTGCTGTGATCCAAAAATTTATCAGGTCAGGGTGAAGACGTTCAAAACCCCAGAAGATCTCTCTCTTGCCGATTCTCTCTCGCACTCCTCAAAAATGATTGAAAATAAGTTTACTGTCACCTACATAATACAGGGACTATTTTCTGTAAAATCCTATTCTAGTTCAGCACTGAAATGTCTTATTTATTTGTTCTGTAAGTGAAGCACAAAAATATAAAAGCTCTCTTCTGGTTTCTTTTTATTTGACTATTACTTCACATTATACACAAGGAGACAAGACAGACCTGGATCAAATGACTCATGCAGGATGACCTAATTTACATACGTTAATTAAAACCAAGTCCATAATTTCTTAAGATATACTCTGTCCTCTCCCTTAAAAATATTGTTTCTGTCATTTTATATAAATAGAGAGAGCAACCTTTCCTCCTGGTAGGCTTGCCTGTTTCAGAATGCATGCAACGAGCATGCACAACCTTTTATGCAAGTAAAGATCCATCACATTTTTACTGATTAGTAAAAGTAATTTACTTGATGAAAAAGATAAATATAGTAAATTTTCTTATAGCATATTATTTCACCTCACTGGTAAAGACTGCATAAATTGAAAATAATTAGAGTACATACACTGTTAGTAGAAGTATGATATCCATAAAGTTGGAGACGCTGACATACAGCAAAAACGGGCCAAGCCAAGTATCACGTCAGAATGAAGCCAAAAGAAGGAAAAAAAAATAAAGACAACAGAATAGGTTAAGACAGAAAAATCTTTATTTTATATATTATTAAATTTTTTTATTTGTTTTTAAAATGACAGTGAAGAAAAAATGGTTTATTTTCAATCTCATTTTTTAAATTTTCAAAAGAGAAGTACAGAGTTGCAGAGATTACTCTCAGGAGAAACGTTCCGTTTCGTAATCTACTTTTTCCAAAAGCTCTCCTTTTGTGTGTAAGTTTCCTTTGTTCAGAATAAACAGTGTGTGAGAGATTCAATAATTGACCTACACTTTTGAAAAGTTGAGAAGGATAGGTCTCTCTGGGTCAGAAGAAAAGATGCCTTTTTATGCTCAGGGAAGGTTTAAAAAGTATTAATTCTTGAAATTCAAACTTCCTATGGTTTCAGGGACAAAGATCCAAGATCAAGCATCTATGGTCCCAAAAGGATAATGGACATTATGAGAAGCTTTGCATATATGTCAAAATGTTTCTTATAATGTGGAATTTTTGCCACAAGTATGCAATCGCAGATGAACATTTTTTTTCTGCTGTGGGCTTGACAGAGACTTGTCCCTAATTTTTACTTGGCCAACCGTAAAATAACGTCCTGCTACTGCTGCCATCCTCCAGACAAACCACCACAGACTCTTCTATTTCTGACTTACCTTTCTTATGCACATAAGAAATGCAAATTTGACATTAAATGAGTATTCAATATTCCACAAAATTCTATTCACAAAATATAAACAACTAAAAACATTTTGCATTGGTCATAAGCAGTATTTAATAAAAAAAATAATTTGAATATAAAATCTAAGTTAATTTACAACATCAGCTATTCTAAAAGTGCTATGTTAATAACAATTTTAAAAGTGCTATGTTAATAACAAGCATCAGGATCAGTATGTCTACATGAACAGTTTCTGTTAGTTATGAGAGCAGGAGTATAGTTTGGTCTTGCCACTGAGATCTCTCTCTTATAGACAGTAACACTGGGTCATGGCTCTTCACTTTTCCTACATTTATAGATTCCAAATGGAATCAATGCTACTGTCATAATACGCAAGACAATATTTAAACACTAATTTTTCCTTTCTATAGACCACTTAAATTTTTTTTCCCAATAACTGCAGTTTAGGCAAAATACTGCTTTTTTCTTTATATAGTTATACATACTCTTTTAATGAGATGAATTTATTCTTTAAAAAAAATTTCAAAGTGATTAGTGAAATATATACACACGCACAATTTTGTCCTACATCGAACAAAACAAACCAAGTACCAGCTGCAACTATTCTGATTTTACTTACCAGCATTGCACGTTTTTCTTCATCTCCTTTTCTTTCTCTCTTCTCATTTTTTTTCCTGAAAATCTCTTGTAGCTAAAAAACAAACCATTTTGTTCTTATTTAGTTTTCAGGCTATTTCACATGTATAACAATCATTCATTGTGAGGAACACTGCAAACTATTAAAATGTAGTTCTTTACTAAAATATCAGTGTTTCAATGATGCTTTAGTGTTCATATTCATGCCTTCATGTTCCTTCTGTCACCTTAACCATCACACAGAAAGGAAAAAGGAAACATTTTTTCCACAAAGTAAGGCTAATAATTCTATTTGGGAGCACAACACTAAGAACATCCTATTTAGCTTTATATTTTAGCCAACCCAGCCTATACAAAAAGGGGGAGTTCCAGCCTTTTTCACCACCTTCTTTCTTGTTGGGTACTAATTAGTATCTGTGTGGCTATGTAGGCAGCTGGATCAATCTTTTTTTCATATTGTTAGTTTCCAACCAGATCAGTTCTTACTCCTGCTGGCACATGGGAAGGGTGGAAACACCTGGTGGGGGTGAAACATTCCCCTTCAGCAGCAACAAACTACTACTCAAGAGTAATTTATCAAGTACCGTTTTTTTTCAAGTCTGTTCAAAGAATACCTTCAGGTCTTGTAAAATACCCCTTTCACAACTTTCTCTACACTAAGAGCTTTAAACATGACTTCTAAGAAAACCTCAAATACAAGATTTAAAACATACAGAGATTATTAAACATTTATTTTTGGAAACTGCAGTCTTCAGACTAAGAAATGATCTGTACTTATCTTTCTTTGTAAGTGTCTGTATTCTTTAAATATTTTTATTTATAGTAATACTTAACATTCCCAAAGCATTAGAAAAAAGTGACACCTTGTTTACTCTTCACAGGAAACAGAGCAGTATTAACTATGATCCCATCTATATATCTACCAGTGAACTTCAGCTTTTCAAAAATTGCACCTGAAAATATTGTACTGCCACTTGTAGCATTTGCTAATCTCAAAATGGCTGAAAAAAGAATAAACACTGTGGCTGACAAATTTGTCCTATCCAGAATATAGTATTTTCAGAACCAAACATCACGGCATACAGATGGTGGTACCATAAATACACAATTGTGGCAGTTGTTTCAAAGACCCGATTTTACCTACCAGAAGTCTGATAAAAACCTGACACTGTAATGACATACACACAGAGCTCCCCAGGGATCAGAATGTGAAAGATAAAGTGCGTGTGATATATTTTGCAAGCAAATTTTCCAAATTTAATTTCAGAATACCATATTTCAGAGAAGGCAGATGACTAAGACAAAGGGATTAGCACACTCTACTGTAGGGGTATAACAACACTGAAATAAATGAATACAGTGCTTAGCAATTAAACAGCAAACGCATTTATAAATAATGTTTTAGGAATTTCCAAAATTGACTACTGTGTTCTGGAATTGTCTATGAGGCAAATACTGACCAGAATATTGTGTGTGTCACTGTATCTATTTTTGAGTACGGGATCAATTTACAGACCTTGGTATGTTTTTTCTAATTTTTTGGAAACCTACAGGCACAAATTATTGTAACCTATGCTGACAAGGAAGAAGTCATGATAGGACATTTAGCTGGATGGCCTAGAGTGTTACACGGTTTGCAACCCCGACCTGTGGAAAGAAGAAAGGTAAATGAAGAGAGAGAAGTAGAAAGAAAATACCTTGTGAAAAGTAAAGTGACAAGCCATCAAGTAGGAGAGAGGAGTGGCAGTAATTGAAAAATCAAAAAAGACTGGTGTAAAGCAATGCATCCTTGGACGTACTTCCCCTGCCACAGAGGCAAAGGGAGTAGGATTCTGTTGCATTCATCATTAAAGCACTTGCTAAACTTCTGGAAATGGATCCTTTGTTCAGAAGCAGTGCTATAGGATACCAGCGAGTAGAAAAGTGAATGTGAAAAGGATCTAGCAGTACTTTCATAGGAACATTGTTTGAAATAGGATAATGAGATTGAGTGCTGAAAGCAGCAAAAACAAGATCTCCTGTAACAAGGGAACACAATCCTTCTGTTCCCTGACCTCACCCCTATGACATAAGCAAAGAGGAAAGCACAAACGCCATGGAATTAGTTTACAAAAACAGTAAAGCTGTTATCAGAAAAATTAAGTATTTTTCAACTCTTCGCTACACATACTCTTCTCTTCAAGAATCATATAACATGATCCCTACACCAATCTCTTCAAAGTCTCTTTATTTGCAAAACTGGATAGTATTAGCTATACTTCCAATTTTATGATAGCTGACTGTAATCATTGGAGAAGTATTTTGCGAATGCTGGATATAGTTCAAATGGCAACACTTACAGTCTCCTGCTTCCAGGCACACAGGAGATGATGCATACCCAAGCAAGGTGAGTACAGATGCCAGATGTATGTTCTGCGGCCAGGTCTATCACAGCTGCAGCATCACTGAATCAACTTTTATTTTCATATTTACTTTTATTTAACACAGACATTATCTACCTACCTACCCACCTACCTATCTATTTTAGTCTTTCTCACTTCAGATCTAACATTCTGACTTACGGGTTTTGATCTAATTTTTGAAGGGTCACTGACATGGTAACCAAGCAGAGTTAGGGTCAGGTTTAATCTATACAAATTTGTTAAATACAATAATAGGTGGAGAACAGTGTATCTAATGTTTGAAAATTCTCCTTTCTTTCTTCTATCCACTAAGTCTGGTAACAGGAAAAGAGTAAAAAGGAAAAAAATTTATCAGGGACCATGACAGAGAACAAATAAAAGGTAGGATATGAAGAGGACTATAAAAGCATAGTTAGAAAGAAAGATGCAGTATCCATAGTTAAACGTTGTCCTTGCTTCCCACCTTATATACTTGATTTCATTTTCAGCATCAGTTTCTGAAAGACAAAGCCTCCTGCTTCAATTTCCTTCCACTTAGCTGGTGTAATGGAAGCCTTTTTTTTTTTTTTTTTTTAAAAAAGTTGTCAGCTTTTTCCACCACATTCTGATTTATGGAATCATGAAAGACTTTTTTTTTTTTTTTTTTTTAAAAAAGTTGTCAGCTTTTTCCACCACATTCTGATTTATGGAATCATGAAAGACTTTTTTTTTTTTTTTTTTAAAAAAGTTGTCAGCTTTTTCCACCACATTCTGATTTATGGAATCATGAAAGACTTTTTTTTTTTTTTTTTAAAAAAGTTGTCAGCTTTTTCCACCACATTCTGATTTATGGAATCATGAAAGACTTTTTTTTTTTTTTTTTAAAAAAGTTGTCAGCTTTTTCCACCACATTCTGATTTATGGAATCATGAAAGACTTTTTTTTTTTTTTCTCCCTTTCCTTCTTCTATTTTTCCTTTGGCCAATTAATCCAATGTTTGCTGGCTTTTTCCCCTGACTGGAGGAGATAATTATTAGGAATTGGCAAATATAAGGATGTGTATGTTTAATACTAGAATACAGAAAATGATCAGCATGCCACAATTATGCAAGTGGTGACAGCTTCCAAAACAAAGGTCACTTGTTCTGCTTAAGCTATGCCACCAGAAAACAAGTCCCCCAGATCTCAGATCTCACTCACTTGGTTGTGTATCACCTCCTTGAAAAGAATTGAGGGAAGTTCAGTGTGTTGAGGACAGTTTCCTTCACGTCTCCATTTTCTTTAGGTTAGCATAGCTTATCTGAATCGAGCCTCATAACTTGACATGAAAACAATTAAGAAGCAGCACACAGGAAATTAGGGTGTCTTCTTTTTAAATAAATAGTGGTCTGACACTTAAATCCATTCCATGTGTCTGTTTCATTCGTTACATCTTGTTCCATCTTCTTCAATAAGGCAGCGGGCTTCTTCTCATATTTATTTACTGTATTTATTTATAAACGCAACTACACAAAAAATGCGTGAAGATAAGAATTGATGCCTTCTGCAAATATCTTTTTTAGAAACATCTGATTCAATTATTATAAATATTTTTTTATTCCATTAATCGCCTGTACTTGTTCAGTAGAAAATAAAGGCCTTGTGCAGTCTTCAGAAAGCTTGTCTAAACCACTAACCACAAACCTTTAAATGTTAATTTCTAAAGAAATGTCAAAAACTGTTTGCCATAGCTGAGTGTTCCAGTGTAATCCCAGACATCTGCTGTGTATGGACATTACCAATTTAGAAAACTCTGATTTATACTGTATTGTGCAGTTTGTTAATGTAAAGCCATGTATCATTGTAAAATCAGAAGCCCTAAAGATGAGTGGGCAATCTTCTGATTTCATGATTTCTTTTAAAATGATCAATTTTTTACTTCATCACTAACATTCATTTAGAATAGCATTAATTATTCCTCCCATTTCTTTTAAAATCAGAAAATAAATGAAATGAACATAAATCTGAAATAGCCCTCTTGTTCCAAGGCTTAATTTTATACTTGTCAGTGCAAGCATCATTCTCCTGTACTTAGTGGATCCTATCACCTTCACACTTAAGAAGTAAGAAGTATTCAAATTTTAAGATGCAATTATCAGATTTATCATGATCAAAATCAAAATATAGTGGATGATTTAAGACTTTTTGAAGATCCAAATTCTTCTTAATGCACAAATCTCAAAGACATGTTGTGGTGAAATAAGCTATTTTTTCTTTCAAAGTCTGGGCCTTTAGAACTGTTCAAATTTCTAACCAGAAGAAAAATAAACTCTCTGCTTAAGTAATTAGTAAGAAGAACTTACAGAACTGCTTTTTTCAAGCAATAAACTGAGTAAAGCTCCAGTTTGAAAAATACTGTAATTCAGATTTGTAATGTAATAAAACCTTTGATGCAACAAAACTACTACTGCCAAGTTCCAGATGTCCTGCCAACTGTTCCAAAGCACATGAAAATTATTCAGCTCAAAGTAAATTTTGCTATCAGGAATATTCTCCTTAAAAAGAAATCACTGAACCCCAGCTTAGCAAATTGCTTCAGCATATGCATTTCATGGGCTGAACTAGATGTATGTACAGTATGTTTTATTTCATTACAAATCTTGTTGAAAAGAGATGACAGTGTTACATTATGTCAGTCAATATTTTCAGGTCATCTGGGATTATAAGCAGAATGAATGACAAAGTGAAGTGGTCTCCCAGGAAAATATTATTTTGCAAGTCCCTCCATCATTATTGCAATTAAATAATTCTGCTGACCATTGATACAGCAGTATTACTTTAATAGCCTAATTATCTGTGAACGTAGTAGCAATTAAAAAGATCCAGAATAAAAACTGGAATTAACCTTCAAAAATCATTATATACAAACACACCCATGCACTGTAATAAGGAGATAGTATTTACAATTTACTTTACATTTACTATTTACATTAAATAAGGCAAATAAACAACCACATTCAGTGAAGAATAGCTCATGTTCTCGTGATTATTGACGTCATCATGAGTCTCAGTCCAGACAAAAAAATGAATTTCAAGATTATATCAAAATATTCAAAGACTGAAAATATACGTACCACTAAGAATTCCTTTTTGTCCACCATCTCATTGCCATCAGTATCAAACATGTTGAAAGCGATTCTAAAACCTGCATGTGGCTCTGCCAAAAAAACCCCATTCAATTATTTATTTGCTTGGAAAGAAAGCAAATATAAAACTCTAAGAAATTATTTGGTATCTGTTTATAAAAGCCATATCCTCAACTAATTTAAATTAGTACATTTGTGTACAGAGTAAATGCAAATCATAACATCTGTGAAACAATATTATCCACGTTATGAAAACAGAAGGCATGCTCACAAATTCATAGATTAGGGGAAATAGACAGTAGAAATAGAACATGAAATATCCAAGAAAAATATCTCACAGCAATGGCTGGTTGGGTAGTTCAGAGTGTTAGTTCATAACTAGAGTCCATTTTACATTACAAAACACAAATTTGTAGAAAATAAATTTTCTGTGAAAACACAGTGTTCTGAAAGACACTTTAGAAAGTTTTGCAAAAAAGGTACAGGACACAACTCTGGTCAAAACAAATGATGTGTTGAAAGAGACTCAGAATTTTCTTATTTACATGCTCATTTTTTTTTTTTTGTTTACATGCTCAGAGTCATTGAAATTTTAAATCAGGTTAGAATTTTAAATTATTTCCAAAATGTGGGGACTTTGAAGGTAACTGTAAGTGAAGCCTTTCGGCAACATTTTGGTGATACTCAATGATTTGCAATATGGTTTAATTATGGCCAAAAGTTAGTCCAGATAACACAGAAATTATAGAAGAATATCCATCGATCCAGGAGTTAGGGATTGTAAGGGTTCAGGGTTAAGTTCCTGCTCTGATTCACAGTAAGAATCCAAATCATATCTGAAGAAAAACCTAATGAATCCAAAAGGAATTTTTTAATTTTTAATTACATACAAAGGAAAGACAAGTAAAACACTTCGCTCCTTCCTAAAAAACACCTCTTAAAATATCAAAACAAAGTCTGTATCAGGCTTATTTTACTCTAGCTATAAGTTCTTCTACTTTGTTTTTATGGGTAGTAGAAGACTATTCAAATTTGTTAGTGTTTTCAACATAAACATTTACTTTAGTTTGAGTGATTTTGTATTTTATATTCTGTCGTCTCACTGATGTCACCCATTATGCACTAATAGGTGAAACAAACCAGTAATATTGTGTATCTTTTTCTTCTCCCTGTATTCAATGTCCTTTATGAACTTCAGTAAATTCAGCTTGAAATTTTGTAGGAATTTCAAAGAAGAAATTTTAACTTTTAACTGGGGTTTAGCTGAAGTGTATGGCTCAACTTTCTCAACAGTCAGTAAAATGTGTTCTAGATAATAAAGCACTTAAATAAAACATAACACAAGATTCCAGTAGGACAGGAGAGGTTCAAATGGACATAGAGATGCACAATACATTTTTTTCCATATTGGGATGTGGGGATGAGGGGGGGGAAGGAGTATTGTAATGTACAGCAATACATTCAGAGATTAGAAATTTGTACGGAAGTTTTTGGGTTTTTTTTCCTCCAAAAATACTTACTTGTTAAAATACATAAAAGGAATAAATATTCTGTGTAAGATATCACACCTGAAGACAAAAAAAAAGTTATGCCATATTAGTTTCACCTTGTCGTCACATCCTAAACTTGAAACTATTAAACGTATGTATAAGAAGGAGAATTTTTGTACATGCACATCTGCGTATTCATACTTCTGTGCATGTGACTGTATTCAACCTGGTCAATGCGTTATTTGTCTAAAATATTGATCTATGGGGTCGGGTTTTGAGTATTTTAGCGGAGGAATACATTAAATATGGCAAATAAACAACTACAGTCAGTGGAGAATGGCTTGTTAAACAGAAGCTGGCTAGATTCTTAGAAGCTAATAGAAATGATTTATTCCATTTTCTTTCCGAAAACCCCACCAATAATTCATGACAACACTCTCTAACAGTATGAGAACATTTACTCTGAGAACATTAATCGTGCTCCCTCCTGATACATACCATTTGAGTACAGTTCTTGACTTTAGTAAGTGCTTTGTAAGTTCATGTCCTATATTAATTGAAAACTTGGCCTCGTGTTACTTATGAAAGCATGGATTTGGGCTTTTGAGTTGTCTTTATATGCACATTTTCATAATAATCACCTGAAATTTATATTAAAACTCTTACTTGATGAATATGTAAATTTTGTTAAATATTTTTAAAGTCTGTTAGAGACATTTGTACTCTCTTCTACATTCAGAAGATCTGTAAGGAATACATTCTAAGCTTTTCACCTTTTGTTAGACATCAAAAGGCAATCACAGTGTGGAATGGCACTTCCTTTTCTCTTCAGAAGTGATTAAGGCAATTTATATTAAAACTCTTACTTGATGAATATGTAAATTTTGTTAAATATTTTTAAAGTCTGTTAGAGACATTTGTACTCTCTTCTACATTCAGAAGATCTGTAAGGAATACATTCTAAGCTTTTCACCTTTTGTTAGACATCAAAAGGCAATCACAGTGTGGAATGGCACTTCCTTTTCTCTTCAGAAGTGATTAAGGCAAAATTTGAATTAGAGCTGAAGTCAATATCCAAATATTATGTTTGGTACCATAAACTGTACTTCTGCTTTTCTAGCTCTTGGGTAAAGAGATAACCTTGCAGAATGCCCATAGTACTAATGGAGAGAAGCATCTTACAGTTCAGTAAGAACTGAAAACAATGACTTGCAGCTCTCCCAAAAGCCTTTAGCTCTAATGATCTTCAAGGCTGAACTACCAAAACTGGTTCTTGATTTCTAACCAATTGATTTTGTCTGTTCTCCAAAACCAAAAGTGTTAAGTCAGTCCACAATATTAGACTATTTCAAAAGAGTAAAAAAAAAGTACTTAGATGCCTGAGAGTAAAGATGTCTATCAGCTGGGATTTTCAAAAGTTGCTGGCTGTCTCCTTGATTTCAGTCCAAGTCAGGTGCAAAAGTTTTTAGAAAAACAGCCACATCTTTGGATGTTTAAATCTCTTTTAAAATCTGACTTAACTGAATATGTGACAAACTATGTAAATAGTAATTGAATTTTTTTCACTGAAAAACCTGTAAAATTAAAACTCAAAACATTGTATCATTCCTGTGGATTTTACAATTATTTGAACACATTTAACATCAGCACTTCCAACACTGCCGAAGTAAGAAACTTTGGCATTTTCTACTAATATTTACAGCACAAAAAGTTCTAAATTAATTCTGTCCTGAAATAATACTCAGGAGGGACTTTCTGTCCTCTTGAATAGCTGAGATGAAAATCTCAGCTATATTTCTCTTGGATCTGTCCAAATGCCTTCCCAAACCTTTGATCATACAATAGTCCTCCCTAAGCCAACTGTCCTGAAAGAGAAGCGCCTTCAAGAGAATCACGTCTACTATCCTCAAACACAGAAGTAAAAATAACCAACCACAGAGATCTCCCCAGGTATCACAGAGACTGGAATATAAAGACAATACAAAAGACTGACAGTTAACGAAATTGTCTTTGGAACCAAATCACATCCTAGAAAGAATCACTAAAACCCTCAACCTTTACCAGTTGAAACACTGCCCTCCCAACTTCCATTCCATTCATGGAAAAAAAGGATATTTTCCCACCTTTTGATCCAAGAGCAAATTTAAGTCTTCAGAACCAAGATTTTACTACTGCTAGTAGATCTAGTTAGGAAGGCTACTAAGTATTTTTAATACCACCTACTCTTTTCCTCAGTTTACACATAGCTCCACACTGAAGATTAGCAAAGATTAAATGCAAGCATTTAAGTAACGCATGCTCTATGCTTTATCTTCTTGATTTTATACAGCAGCTTGCAGAAATTAGTTCTCAAAGGCCTGCTTGAATCTGTTTGGACAAGCAGCTATCAAGAAATCAGATACCTCAAAGGTTCTTATTCAGTGATGTAAAACATTCTTTAATAGCCAGTCAATAAATGTAAATATGTATTTTTGTTTGTTTGATGACACCTTCTTTGTTGTAAAATGGAGGAAGAAAGTGCAATTGTCAAGTAGTCCATCACAGGTATGAAGATAGCAATATAAAAGGCCTCGAAAGCATTCTCTCCTTTTGTTTGTACTGGTATATTGTAGCTGTGGACAGATAGTTCTGGTTGATTGCTCTGAGTGTTATGGGAGAGAGGCTCTGAAATGATGATTGAACAGAAAGAAAAGCTTACACTAAGATCAGAAAGAAGAGAGGGAGGTCACTCAAGGGTAAAACATAAAAATAAAACTTAAGGACAACTGGCATAAATCTATGTGGCTCACCTGATTTAAATGAATCTATGGCTAAATAAATGGACATAGGCTTTTGCTACTTGCTCCATGTTAAAATGTGCATGTTTTAAAGAAAATGAGTAAATTAATCTTGTAGTTTTCATGTCATGTACTAAATAAACACTAAATTAGAATTAAGGAGACCCGAATTCTATTCCCATTCCTGTCACTGGCTTACTGAATGACCTTATCACTCATAAGACACATCACTTTTTCTTATATTATCTATAAAATGGGATAACGGAACTCACTTTTTTGTAAAGCATGCTGAAAAGCTATATAAGTGCTAAAGTTTATTACTAATTTTATCAGCTTATTACGCCAGTTTTGAGTCCTCTTAATTCCATCACCTTCTGTAGAATTTCACTGTCAGAAAACTGGAGTAAGATATTGTTGAATGAAAACTACACGTTCCAGACATTTTTTTATAGATTTAATAAGCAACATCCAGATACATTTTTTTAAACTGATAATATATTGATTTAACAGATTCGGAAGCTGAATTTTTATGTAATTAATATTTCAAAAGTCAGCTGTTCTGACTATATAGAAAGCAGCCTAGAGCAAGGAAATCCAAGGATATACAGTGCAAAGATATGCCAGGTTCTGTGTCTCTGGAGTTCTGGCTGCAGACTCAGGGGAAAAAGTGAGCACCTCCATGCACAAGATATTCGAGCCCACGACCCTCCTCTGAGAGTAAGTGCATACTTACTCCTTTAATAAATTTGAGCTGCATTTGAATTAGATTCATTAATTACATGCACATGTTTGATTGGAATTTTGTTGTTGGCTTGCGTATTTTAAACATTCATAAAGTGTCTTTATTTTATAGCAAGTACTTGTGGCTACTTTTAAAAACACCTAAAACGCTCCACCAGACCTCTGCCATTCTGAATATAAGCAAAGGAATATGTTGATTATTCATCATAAATAGCTTTTAAATGTCTGTATGCAAGCCACCACAGGGGTTTTTTTTCTGTTTTTTTGTTTTTGAAGTGATAGAGCTTATTAAGAAAGAAAAAAAAAAGAGGAAACCAGGAGCGTGGCTCATGGCTCTTCCTTTACCAATAGTGTGAGTTTTAAAAACTATCAAAGCCCTCATCTGCAGAATTTAAAGGGATATATAGCATTTCTGAAACTGTCTCTTTGTGCGGTGAAGAAAATGCTTATTCAAATAGTGATATACCATTACTATTGTTAAAAATAATCACATCATTGAACCTATTAAAAAAAGTAAAGAGATATTGTGTCTTTATTAGAATATTCTATCTATGGTCTATAGATTATTCTTCATTACAACAAATTGAACTTGAAACATTCAAACATCAGTTTAACAAGCTCTAAGATACCAATTCAATTAAAGAGGCTAGCTGTAAGATGGCATGATTAAAACACTGTAGAGACTAAAGGGAACTTTTCCATGCTGTAAAATGTAGAAAGCAACAAACACTTTTTATCTTTTTGAAGATGTGACTCAGATTAAAGTACATCACTTCAGCCACAATAAATTAATACAAGGGATAATTTGGTTCAGGAAAATAAATTCTTATCCCCCACCTTTCTCATTCAGATTACGGAAAAGTTTGGATGATCCTTTCCAAACTGGTGGTGTCTCCATAAGGATCTGATTCAGTTCCTAAAAAATAAGATTAAAAAAAGATAAAAGTATATATTTAAATATTTAATGAAGTAGTTAACAGATGATGAGTAAATGCCAGGAAATCAATATAAAAGACAAGGAACTGCATGCAAATTTACCAGTTAATTTAACTTCAGTTTACCACAATGACTTTGGAAGTACTCAAGCACATATATATATAAATTTTGCACACATGATTATTCCAAGAATTGCTCATCTGCATGAACACTAAGTGTTTGCAGAGTTGGAGAGAGACATGTAACATATTTGTTGCTGACGTTACTTACCACTGCCCATATTCACTGAAGCCAAGGATAAGTCCCCCTGGATTTCAGTAAGGTTTTCATACAAGCTCCAAGCAACTGTTCTTTTAAAACACAACCTGAACTAAAGCAAACTTCAGCCATGAATATAAATGTACTTCACTTAAAATACAGGGATACAGACAGAGTCTTTTTGCAGTTGTACAAATGTTAAAAAAAAAAAAGTAAGAGGCACTTAAACATCACAAAAGGTAGAGAGTGGCATGAGTATTTCAGGCAGCTTTGGATACACCTGTTACACTCAGACACTAAAGAAACTCAGTCAGATATGGGCTGAGGAAGGAACTGACAGAGGCTTGAGAAAGTCAGCAAATCCAACATAACAAGCACAGCTGCTCAAGTATCTTTGAGATTCTGGATTCAGCTGAGTCTGAAGTGACAAAAATGAAAAAATCAGTGTCTCTCTTTTTTTCTTTTAATAAAGATTTAAAAACTCCCTTCTTTCTCCTGTGACTAAGTTTACATCATGAAAGAAAGTAACTGTATCAAAATCTAAGGGTATAAGACAGCACAGGAATTACTGCCCACCTGCTTTGAAAGGGATCGCCACTTTTTAGCACCTGCAACAAAAGACAAAGTTATGAATGCACAGAATTTAGTTATGCCAATGCGGTGTCATAAAAATTAAGACTGCATCTATACTCTGTGTTTTCTAGCCAAAGAGGAGGTATTTTCCCTACTTCATGAGGCTAATCTTCAACCTGGTTCCAAAAAATTCTCTTTATGTTATTAAAAAAAAAAAGAGCTTAATACATACCTAAACTCCTAACTTTAAAGAACCAATTCAGATCTATAGTTTTTAATCCAACTCCGCTTCAGTGAGAGAGAAGACTTTCTACCTCCAAAATACACCACTAAAACATTAAACAGGAAATAGACGGTATTCATGTTAACCTGTGGTATCAATATTCTGAAACTATTATTTAGTAGCAGTAGTATTACAGTGCAGATTGTAGGGAGACCTGGATTCTGGCCTTTGCTTCAGGGACTACTCATACCTTTTAAAGCAAATACAGAAAAAAATAATCATTGAAACTACACCAGGTGCTAAGACTCCCTTCAGCCATTCCTAATAACTCATACATGCTCCCTTTTACAGCCTCTGTCAGGCTCAATTTTTTGTAAATAGTTTTAACAGAGGAGCTGAAGAGGGCCTCCAGTTCAGAACTGGAACTGCTCGTTAATACTGAAAACTGACAATGAGTAAGACTGAGCAGATGCTTTCTTCCTAACACCTTACATAAAAGACTCCAGGAGCAGAAAAAGATACTCGCATTCGACAAGTTGTCCACAACCATCCAAGAATTCAAAACTTGAGATTCATTGCCACCCTCTCAAGACAAACATTTGCACAGATTCAATATTAAGATAAAGCACTGTGAACATTGGAATTCACAAAGGTACAAAAAGTAGCATAGTATGTGGTCAAATCCATAACTTTTTGGTTGGTAAAAGCTCATTTTTATAGAGCAAAACACTCTGTGGTATTAGAAATCCCTTCCTCATGATGAACTCCATGCTATATTAAATAACTACCATGATACAGAAGCTACTCACTATGGTCTTTCATTAGTTCATGGTTACAAACTCACTGAAATTTTAGTTTTACATCTTGGTAAAGGTTAGCACCAAGACTGTCTGCAAATCCCACTCCAACTATGGTGGAGTTATATCAAGCAACATCATAACATGAACTAACAGATTTTCATATACTTTTCAGTTTAATTTTTTAATGTCAATTAAAGTCTTGTCTCAAAATACTAAATAAAACCCAACAAAACAACCTCATTTGCCATATAAATTGATATATGTTTATGCCTACCATAAAAAACTTGGGGAATAAATATATCTAACTTTCTAATCAGATAATTTCCCAGTCTCACATATTGTATATAGATTTTATTTCTAGACAAGCATGTGAAGATTTATGTGTACATACATACTTCTTACAGCTCAGTATTAGGCTAAAAATTACTTAGTTAGAGCTAAAGAGAACAAAATACATTTCCTCTTCTCTTAATTGGCTTTCTAAATATATAAACATTTATTCAGATGATAAAAATGTATCAAGTATGACTGTTAAAAATATTATATTTTCCCAAATGAAAGCCTGCACCATAAAGGCAGCAGCAACAAGTTAATTATAGCATTTATTTTATATTTTTTATAGTAACTGCCTGGAGTCAAAAGTTACATTTTATAAAAGAAAATATACTCCTACCAAATTAGTTAGTGTTTAATCAAAAAAGGAAGTGAACACCCTCTTGACTTTTGTAGGGTTTACAAGATTTCCAAAGTAAATCAATCACAATAGACGCATTCACTCCATCACAAATCTCATTCAGGTCTAGTATTATTAGCTTTTCTATAAAGCAGACATAAAGAGCTACTATTATTACTCTTCAAAGGGCATTTTTGCTTTTTGACAGAACTCAAGACCTTTCTAGCCTTCATCCATTAAAAAAAACAGGTGTATGTTCTTTTTTTTTCTGCAAAATATAGATGCTGTAGTATGTCAGCCTGAATTGACGCAATTATTTACAACTTATAACTTGTTTACAAAATGATCCAAAAATACAAAATATGAGATTTAGAATGTATTATTTTATTCAGAAAAATACCTTCCTTAAACTTACTACCTTCCATAAAGCAAGACAGAAAATTAAGACTTGCCCAAACAGACAAAGCGGTACTTTGACAAAGCTGCAGTACAAAGGATAAAATTAACACAGTCAGAGATCAGAAGCTGGAAGTGGTAATACCTGTAGGTCATCTATTTCATTTATTACTTCCTACTTGTCAGCCTTCTGTCCAAACGTCCTAGACAGTATGACTTCCACGATAATGAAGTCATCCACTTCTACTTAGTTACAGCTTCTTACACTATCCCTTAAAATAATTCTCTCAGTCATGTAATCTCTGATGCTAGTCTATAAAACTAAAGGACACCCAGGTTAGTTTTGCTTTCAGTCTCAGAGATTGAAGGACGTTGATACAAACAAGGTTTGCTACATTGACCTCAGAAGGGTGCCTGACTGTTCAACTCCAGATCTCGTCTCCTTTGGCATGAGATGAACAGAATGTCCTTGTGAGCTTAACGCTTTTTGGTTTGGTTTGGTTTGGTTTTTAAAATCTGAATACTCGCTGTGAGAGAGGAGGAAGCATAGATTTCATTAGCATGGAAAAATCTTAATAGCAAACCATACGCACAGTGTGGTCAAACCAAACTGTCATAAAAAGGAGTTAAAACAGAATGTTTAACTGATGTCCAGTACATTGCACAAATGCTTCATGACCATACATGGTGAAATCCAATTCCACAGTAACAAAAAAAGGAAGACTTGGAGATCTGGGCGGAGGAAGCAGATATAAAGTGCTGATGTGTATTTGTATTAACTTCTGTGATAAGGAATCTGCTTCCTCTCTTTTAACTGCAGAGCAAAAAAAAGAGAATGAAGATTTGCTTTCTGGTAAGAGTTTCAAAGTTTTACAAGTTTTCACCATCTAAGCTCTATCTTCTGTCTTCACTGTTACAATGAGATTATATCTTTATTCAGAAGTTACAGAAGTTTTGATCACTGATGTGCCATGGCTGAATTCTTTCCTCGTTTCACTACTGTTAAGAGAACAAAGGGGGAAAATCTAACATCTGCACAGAGCTTTAAGCTCTCCTCTGACTGTTTTAGCTGCTTTTGACTGTTCTCTATACTAGCTTTGTGGTGTAGACTTTAGGAAGAAAGACCTAAGGTGAGTTATTATAAATGTCGCACCTGAGCAAAGATATTCACTTTCCCCAGAAGTTGTGTGCTGCTACCAATGCACTGCAAGCCTGAGGGCCAGGAAATCAAACTAGATCAGAAATGGATCACCTTACTATTTAGTCACTCTTTGATACTTAAAGCAAAAATTTTACAGTAAGTGAACTGAAGTTGATAGTTTATTTTTCATTAATTTAATTAACACATAGTGCTAACTCTGGCAACTTTTAAGTGTAGAAAGTGGATCCCCTGGGGGACTGAAACTCTTACTCAAAGCATGTTATTTAGAAAGCCGTGATATGGTTATAAAATCTCTGTAGGGCAAAAAAACCCCAACACGATAGCAGATGACAATTTCAGATGGCAAAAATTGCAAAACAATGTTATCCTGAATTATTTAGAGGACTCATATCTTGCCTGCCTATTTACATAGAAACTATACAGAGGAGGAGGCAAGAGTTTTACAGCAATACTGGTCTGCTCAGAAAGAAACCATAACTGTAACTGTGCCAATGCAAATGGTACAAATGAACTTCATGTCTTTCATGCCTGTTCAGCTGTCTGTGACCTCTAAGACAAGAATGTTTAAATAATGACTAGTATACAGATGTTTACAATTTAATAACCACCAGGATACTGATTGTATGCACTTGGATACCATTAAAAATAAAATTCTGGAAGATGCAGTACCTTTTTACCACAATCAGAAACAGAACTAGTAATCAAAAGCAAATGGAAAAATAACATACACCACCGGCATTTTCCCTAGCAATTTTATCAATATAAAACTCCTGCTTACGTTTGGGTTCATCATTTGTGACAGCCTGAATGAAGTCATATGGAGTCATATATAGCTGTCCTTCAAATTCTAAACTGGCAAACCTACGAAACCGTTGCTCCCGAGGAGTTGCATAAAGGTGTAAATCTTCAAGGTCTGATCTGTTTTCTGTAACCTTCAAAGACAGAAGGAAACAATTTTAATGTATGAAAAAATCAGTAAATCTTTATGCATTGAAATTGCTGACACTACCCAAGCTCGGGGAAAAAAAGGAAAAAAAAAGAAAAAAAAAAGAGAACTTAGGCTCTTGAATCATAGAAAAAGGCGCAACTTCAACTCAAGGAAGTCCGTGTAACGTCAGCAGTCAGACTTTAATCAACTCTGCTAAAATTATTTCAGTTGTCTGAAATAATGTCAGTTGACATTTCCAGAAGAGAATGGAATAACACTTTTTTTAATATTGCTTCTTAGTGTAGAGTTCAGCTGTTGACAATAACAGGCAAGACACCTCCATAATATACTCCAGTGTAGATCTTCTACGGATACTGCTATTTCAAGTATCCAATGCAATTAAAGCTACCATACTTGGGGGAACAGAAAAGAAGAGCATAATTATTCCTCCAGAGTTACAGAAGTACTATATGGCATTAAGTTCACAACTCATGAGAGTTTATAGATGTCAGGAGTTTCTGGTATGTTTACCATCCAGCTGATTTACACGTAAACTTAGTAGTACAAAACTGTAAGTGTTCTAAATTATTACGTCTTTGTGTTACAATGTCAAACCTTTTAACAGAAAATATGCTACTGCTATCTGAAAACATTTTTTAGCCCATAACGAGGGAAGTTCCTCTGTGGAATCAGTATCTTGAAGAAAATGTAAGTATCTCGAACTTTTTTTCAGAGATGAAAAAACCAAACCCAAACTGTTTCATAAAAGGAAGAGCAATGATATAGCTAACTTCTCCCAGTATGTTAAAATAGGAATGCAGCATCTTATCAATGAAATATCCCAAGCTGCCATTGTCCTCACTATTCTTGTCATTTCATACAGTATCCCTAAAATTCCTCAGGTACCAAACCAAGGCAAGGCAACAAGTAGCACATGGTTTAACCAATGTCTATGTTTTCTTTTAACAACTAAGAAAACAGCCAAATACATTTTGTTTTTCAGAGAAGCATCTAAACACAAAGAGAAGTTGGGAGATGTCTGCAGTTGCTGTCTGCTAAGAGATAACAGTCCTCAACTACAAATGGAAACTGGTTTTCCAAAACCTTTCTAAAAATAGGTTTCAGACTTCAGCAATTAGAAGCAAAGGCACATTTATACTGAGCAGTCAAAAATCTGGGCTCACTTTCCCTCTGCTTTCCAAACAACATCCTTAAAAAATAAAACATTAGTAAGACTACTGCAGTGAAACAAGATTTTATGGCTTCAGTTGTAATTAAGAGATTAAATTATGTTTGTAAAATAGACACATCAAAAATGAATGTGTCTAGAAGAGGTCAAACACTTTCTATTTGGAGAAAACAAAACAAAAAATCACATGTACAATCACAACGTAACAGAAGACTGCAATTTCTTGATTTTATATATGGGAGTCTTAGTACTTCAATACTTTATCTAGGACATTTTAACCAGCCTTCTAGAAGGAAAAAAGATTATCGACTGCATAGTTCTCTTTATGGACTGTCTCTCATATTTTTGAAATTATTGCTTCTATTGTGTGTGTGAAAACATTTTGTTTCAATGGAAAAAACTGTCACAGAAAGTAAGAGTAATAGACTTGCTTATACAATCATTTAATTTTCAGTAGACTGCTTTACATACAAATATTCTGCACTTCTGCCTGAGAAGCAGCTTTAAACGTGGTCTTCGTGTTTTTTATCATTTTCAAATGATTACCAAATGAAATACGGGGAGGAAAAAATAAAATCTAACAGCCAGACCTACAAACTCACCTCAGAATGACAGAAAAAAACTGAATTGTCTTCTGACATACCTACATGCAAGCCAAAACATTTCTGTCCTATCTCACTATTTGAATACTATGGTCTTACTGATCCTTCAGCAGTCCAGTGGCATTCAAGCTATGCCTTCATGTGGGATTTACACAACTCAATTGTTTTGGTAGCGCTTGTAGCGACATAACTGATTATCCCTGTATTTGAAGTTTAATAATCTATCTCATTTTTGATATGTATGTTATTTTATCACTATTACAAACATGCTTTTGCATACATGCAGGTTGTAAGCATGAGTAATAAAGCAATATTTCTGCCAAGTCGATTTTCAGAAAAGAAAATGCTTCAAGGCCGTATTACACATGCAGTATGTATAATCGATTGTAACCAGTCATAATCAATCATACATACTCAGAAGAATCTGTAGATAATGTGTCACTCAAGAAATATCATCTTAGTTTTGATCACTGTTAGTATTTGGAGAGCATGTTGAGATTCTTTGCTCTCAAGAAATTCACACTATCTCAGGTACTGCTGCTTAATATTTCGCCTGAGACACTTAGAAAAGCATTTATTAAATTCTCAGACACATATTTCAACATTATCTTAAGTACTCTATGCTACTGTAAGTATAAAATAACATACTGCAAACACGGAATTTTCAAGACACGCTTAAACTTAACTCATGCCAGTACTCAGGTCTGCAAAACCTTAATTTCTGCTTCATTTTAGCCAATCTACAGTTTCCCTCTGACTATATAGCAATGCCAGCATTTCACGCTCTGGCTCAAAGGCATTGTAACCCGATATGAATACAGCCTGCCACCAAAAAGAGCAGTACCTCCCTTAAGGCTCAATACCCTGCATGCCCTTGCTCTGGCACTTTATGTTCATTTTTTAAGTGTCAAACTGGGTAAGGGAACTGGTCTGACTGAGAACTTTTTGTTTTGGTGGTGTTATTTTTTTAGCCAGATAAATGCCTGGATCTACCCCACAAGAACAGTTATTTGTTTCAAAACCTAGGCCACAGGAACTTGCAGCTTACGGAAAAGAAAGTATCACCTGTTCCAGCAGCAAGCTCCACCTACTTCAAGTTAAAGTGATGGGAAAACTGCAGGCTTAAGCATAATTTTATTCCAAAGAATAAAAATACCACTTTATTTTGAACTTTGTGGTTTTATCTGAAAGAATCAAAACAAGTTGTTTCTGCTATTGATCCAACATGAATTCAAACAAATGTGTACAGGGCTTAACATGCATTAGATCACTGGTCCATACACTAAATGTCCAAATAAAAGCAAGGTTTGGCTGCAGAGGAGTCCAGGCACACACCTTAGCTAACTGACAAATAAAACCATCTTTAGGAATAATATTATTTTTGTCCAAATTTGTTCAGAGCTTTCCTTCTCCTATCACTGCTTATCAATTTATGTAACATACAGCAACTTTAAGTCTCTTGCATAAAAGCTGTAATTAGGAATTAATCAATATGCTAATTAAAAGCCAAGCCATTCTAAAGTATCACCTCAATTCGCACCTCTTCAGGCGTTCATTTAAGAAATTCCTCTCAACACATAACTGAAATTTCTCCTGTTTTCCCCAACATTAGCAGATCATAATCCAGTGAGGCAAGTATGAGAATCCTAGTGACACCAATTACTCTCAATTGATTTATTTCATATTTATGCCCAGGTTAGGCAATCTTATTGTAGCAGCATCAGTATCAAATCCAATGGACACATGAACAAGACACAGAAAGTAGATGTTGAATACCTCAGGGAAGGTACTGTTGGTGAAGGAGTGAACAGGATTCAGTAAGATTCCAATTTCTATTTGAAGTTTCAAGAGCTTATCCAGACTAAATCTCTCTGTAATTATCAACAATCTTCAAAAACTTTCATGAAAGTACATCTCTTTGACAAACAGAAGAGGGGAGCTTTTTTTATGCTTCTGTTTACTAATCCTCTTGGCAATCCTGCCTACTAATTGCTATGATCTTGTATCATGTTATGGTTCTCTGCCTTTTAAAAACTGGACACGGCCATTTCCTTCAAGCAGAATGTCACAAATCTCCCAGTAGCAGTATTACTTTAATTTTAGGCATAGCAGGTCAGCTCTTGTTTACCTGCACATGTACACTGATCTACTTTGTTATTAGAACTTTTAGGGGAAAAAAAAAGCCCCACAGCTGAAACCAAGAACGTAGCTGGTAGCCAGAATTTCCACCCTTCCAACTTCACAACTCATAAAGTAAATGAGGCAAGACTGAAGCTCATCAGCACTCACAAACAATATGTTATCTTTTCCCTGTTCTCAAAAAAATTCTAAGCATTAATAGTTGTAATCAAACAGCTCATGGTTATCATCCTGCCCTTCCTCCCTCAAACTCTGGTACCTTGTTGCTCCATATTTCACCTCCCACCCCCTGTCCTCCTGTGCCATACCCTTGCAGAAGGACTGCAGAGGGAACACAGCACCTTTTTGGGGTGCTGCTATGCACGGTCTTGGCTTCCATCTGCCTTCTGCAAAACCAAGAACAGAGACTGCATGGCTGTTCTAAGCTCAGTTTACATCAGCTGAGGAGAAAAAATGATCTTGGCCTATTTTATTGCTGTTCTATATACACAGAAATGTATATACACATACCTAATTCTTGCACAGAGGAGACATTTCAAAGCACTTTCTAAAAATGGTTAAACTGATTCAGCACTTATATGCAAACCACCACCAGGCAAAGGAAACACAGGGAAACATTTCCCATAAGAAAGTCCATTTTAACATCAGCTTATCAAATCAAGTTAAGTAAAAATGAAATTGAAGACCAAATAGTAATTTGGCGGGGTACTTCTCTGAATGGAGAGTATCATTCTTCAATTACCTGTGCTTCCATTGTAAATCTATGCTACAAACATATTACGAACAGCCTAAAATATCTGGAAAAGGCCTCAAAAGTTTCAAATTTATTATGCAAATGAAAATATGATGATAATGCTCTCTCACTAACATATTTCAAGGTAATTCCTAAAAACTATTTTCTGGAAGTACTGCATTTAGAGAGGGCCATCTAAAGCTACAATACCACCACCACGTGTCTCACAGAGTAGTAATCCTTTAGATGAAAGTCTTTGTTATGGACACTCAACATTTTTAAGTCAACCAATTTTGAAAGCATTCCTTGCAGAACCTCTTTTAGAATGATACCCTTCTG